ATATAAAAGAAAAAAAATTGAAGAAAAACAATTGCATATCTGGTATGAACTTGTGTGAGCTCTAGATAGGAAACCAGCTTTGTTTTTAGGACATTACCAGGGCAATGATAGCAAAGCTTGAAATATTCTGTTTTCCGAAGAGGTTTGAGAGTCTTGAAAGACCCAGATTGCAAACTGAATTTTTGCACTTAAAATTTTGAAAAAAAAAGCAACGAACCTTTGGTAGAATATCTGAATCTAGCAGAGGAAATTCAGTTTAGCTGAGAGTAATTGCACGAAGGAGTGAGCAGAAAATTGTTGACTTAAATTGTTTTAAAAAGGCTTCCATCACAATTTGAAACTCTTTCTACATCAGCAAAGTTTAGTAAGGGTGAGAAAAAGTTAGACCTGCTGAAAATTTTTTTTGGCGAATTTCGATAGCGATAGAGAAATCAATGAAAAATAGGACAACAAATCAATTGGCATAATTACCAAATGGAACTTAAGTGCAAAATTTCCAAAATGGAGCAATTTCCATGCAACAGTTGCATTTAAAAAATCGAAAACAAGTTTTCCTTGATTAAAGTGAGAATATTATTCAAGTTGTCAAATCAAATATTGATTGACAATTTATTCTAAAAAATGAGCTGTTTCTCAAAAGGAAAAAGCATCAACTTGCTGTTAGTGATAAATTTATTGTGGTCATTTTTTCCGATTAACAAACCATTTTCACATGTTTTCGTTTCTGACAATACGTTAGAATTAAAAAATGATAGAAAACGTTTGAATTACATCAAAAACTTGAAATTTACGCCATTTGGGACTTATCGACAACGACAACAGAGTGAATTTTGCATTTTATCCTAAATTCGTGAAATATGAATTATTTGAAGACGGCTATGCAAAATTTTCCCTATTTCTTGATCTTTCAATACCAGTTCTTGGCTTTTTCATAAAAATAAAGTCGCTAATTAAAGTTTAGGAAAGTAAAAAAAAACATTGTTTTAAAAATGGGTAGTGTGAAAATCAGGGCGATAGTGTACTTTAGGAGAAAAGGCCTGCCCATTAACGGAGAGCGATAAGACGAACCGGCATTTTGGTCATTCCCGCGATCAAGTACCTACCTCCTATTAAATAGGAAGGGCAAGCACAAGCCAGAATGGTGGAAGAGTATCTGGCGCTTCATCAAGATAGTGCCGTGGAATTGAAGTCGTCAAGGTTCGTACTGGAGAACCAGTACAATCTATCAGGAATGATTGGAAAGACAAGATCGACACAAAACAGACCCTGACAGCCAAGGAGGAAGGCACAAGCGAAACGCAAGGAGAGGAAGAAAGTGGATGGTATTTCATCACACTGGTAGTGTGTTTTCTCTTTGTTCTTAGCTTTGTGCCCCGTGAGGTTAGTTCCTCGTGGCCAGCAAAGTAATGAACTCAAAAATTTTACCCCCATCGTTTTTACAATATATAGTGAAGATTATGCTTTCGTGGAAACTAGTGCTGGACTATCCAAAAAGGTATCTTAAACCTAACCCTTTTTTCATTGATTTAAATTTCTGAGAAAATTCTTAGAAAACGATGTAACAATTGTTTTTTTTCGAAGAAAGGTTCTTTGTTTTCAGCTAAAATTACTCAGAACAGGTCGGACTTTTGTTGTTAATTAATTCAATGAGAGTAAAAGTCCGACCAGTACAGGGATTCAACTCCCTCGGCAACCAAAAGGTCCCTCTTTGGTATGTTTTATGATATCCATTTTCGGTCGACAAACCCTAAAGTTTTTCAATATATGCAAATTTTGAAGGGGAGCACGCGCTGAAAAACTCAATTTTTGGTCAAAATTTTTCAAAAATTCTCAAAACGGCGTTTTGGCCTGTTTTTTAAACATTTGCACCCCCCTGCTCGAGAAAATCTTAGATCCGCCCCTGCATTAACATTATAATCGATTACACTTTCGGTTGGGGGCCATTAATTTGGGCCCTCAGTTTTGGGGCCCCTAATAGTTTTTATTGTTTGCCGGGAGACGGGGGTGCATGGTGGGGGACACGTGGGTAGGGGACGGGGGTAATTGGGAGGAGGGTTAAGAAGAATGATGTCACTAAGTGTGTGTGTGGGGGGGGGGGTAAAGAAAGGGGGTACCCTAAATAAGAAAACAATGTTTTTAAGTAAGTTTGTAGGATCTCTTTAACTATTCCCCTTATGGTACCTAGTAACGAATCTCTCCCCCTCCCCACTATAAAGAATTGGGTAAAGGGGGGGGGGGGGTAAACGAATTTATTTTTCGGCTATCCGGGAACGAATTTGTTTTTCGGCTATCCGGGAACGAATTTATTTTTCGGCTATCCGGGTATTCGGCTCCGTGACACGCGACCGTACTAGATGCTTAAGGTTTTCGCTATTCCAGAGAACCTTGTTTAGTAGCTTCTCTTCTATTTCAGGAGGCGGGTGGAGTTGACAGAGCGCTACTACTGAGTTGATATCGTCTTGCTTTTGATTGGGGAGAAGATGTTCGATTACGTCGATGACAAGAGAATTTGATTTTCGTAACGAATATGTGAGTCGTACCTTCCCTGTGGCAATAAATTATTGCCTCTATCTGCAGTTGAAAATTCACAATAATGTGGGTTAACTGTTCCGGGGTACACTTCGTATTGAAGTTATTGGGATGTTTTGTGATGCTGTTGCTTACCACGTCGTGCCAAATTATGAATTTTCTTTTTCTCAGGCAGCCACGTGTGAGAACCACTGAAGGTATTTGAGTTTACTGCTAGTTTATGGATTGAGGCTCGATGTTGCAAGGGTGAACTTTCGGTATTTCTTTCTTAAAGGGGAGACGATCAAGAGTTCTTCTGAGTGAGCTTGCTTTTCTATAAGATTTTTGTGAGATGTGCGAAGCTCCCATGCCGCACGTCTGGGTTCAAATTTATTTCGTTTGTCGCTTTTTGAACTATATGGGCTATTTGCACAGTTATCGGCTTCCCTTTTATTATTGCCATTAATTTAATTTTAGTAGAACAGTTATTTTTTTCCAGAAAATATGTCGATGAATACCTTTAATCCATTTGTGAGCGAAACAAGAAGCCAAAGCAAGAGAGTGGATGAGAATGGAATCCAAACTCCGATGAGAAATAGGCGGAAGTTGGGAGATTCATCAAATCTGTTTAACAATGTTGTAACTCCATCAAATAAGAGCGCGCAGATTCTAATTTCGAAAACTCCAGGGTTTGGTCAAAGTCACTGCAAAAAGTCAGGTAAAAAAGACACTGCAGTTTTTTCGAGCATCAAGAAGGTACCGTCTATTTCAACCTCCTCGTGTTTTATGATTGAAAAAGAACTTCAGTTGAAGCCTGATAATCACCTCACTGATTTTTTGGAGAGTAACTACGATGTCTGCTCTAGAAGACCTGATTCCATTCCAGAAGAAACTGAGGCTTCTTTGAAAGTTATGTCACCCGTACATCTAGCAGAAATAAGTTTCTTGGCTGATAGTGTTGAAAGTGATGAGACTGTTTTCGAAATTGGGACTGCCTCCGAGAATAGTAAAACAACAGATCCATTGGACTATAGTATGGAGAAAGAGGTTTTTGGTTCATGTGATAACGGACTTGAAGATTGGCTCACAAGTGATTATGACGTCGATCTGTGCAAAGAGGAGCCTCATGTAGAACCAATGTCACCCGTACCCAATATGTCTTCGTTCGACCGGGAAATTGACGAGTTTCTTGCTTCTGCAACCAAGACTGATAATACGATGGACTTAAATTTTATAGCTCCAATTCCTTTGGAGGAAGACTTCTTTAGTTCTCTTATGAGCGAAACCGAGAAAAATCTTATGGATATTGATATTACTGAACTTCTCAACTTATAAAGTCTTCAGCTCAGTAACTGTGACAAAGTGCATTGACTTCATTACCCATCTGCTCAAAAACATTAGATATTAGTATTGACAATTATTTTGAAAAATCACATTAGGATCGCAGTTTTCAGTTCTCCATTTTTAAATCAATTAGTGTTAATGTGTTTTGGTCTGTGTTAGTTTGATGGCCATGAGTAAGTCACATGAAGCTCATCTGTAAAGCAACGAAAAAGATACTGCTCCAGCGTTGTGCTTTTCCCTGATAAACAAATGACTCGAATGGGTTAAGAGTAATGCTTGTTAAAAGCTATTAATGTTTATTTCATATAATAAATTTAGATGGATGATATGATTAGTGAAGAAAGTGCACTTTTAATTGAAGCGTGTTTTTACAAATGTGCGAGATATTTTAGGATTTCTTTATTTTGATTCAAATTTGAATCCCTGGCTCATGATACTGCTCGAATTAATTGTTTAATGTCTAGTTTGATTGTTTTTAATTTGTCGTGTGATTTTAATTGAGTTTTTCCACAATGCCTACGTTTTATCTGTTACCCTAAACACAAGGCTCAATGTTTAAATGGTTCAGTTTTGAATTTTTTTGTCAGCCTCCTGACATCATCAGTTACTCAGTTACTAAAAAAAAAATCATCAAATGATTTTGAAAAATTGTCTACAAAAATATAATCACTGTAGCAGTAACTTATTTAAAAGATATAAAACTCAGAGTCGCATTATCAACTGCCGCTGATGATACTCCTTGTGACGTCACTAAATAGACGTCAGTTAGTTAGTTGCTTTAAGTTTCCGTGAAATTTAAATTCGTAAGGCCACGAAATTTCAATATGTAAAGCCAATGGTATCTTAAACTGATATTCGCTTAATGTAAACAATAGCTAACTCACTTTTAAAACTGAATTTATACAACAAGGGGCTAGTTAAGAAATAGTAATATAAATTGATGCTCACTTTTTAATGAAGATATCAGCTGAAGGATAAAGGTTGAACATCTAACCCAAACATCCCTAAGTCGAAGAAAGCCGACACCCGCTCTAGTAAATAACATCTAATGTATCTAAAAAAAGTGAATAGTATCAACAAAACAATATGCCAGTAACGGTATACTATGCTCCTCTCGCATGTACAGTGTCGCCTTGAAGTGTTTACAAGATCATAAGCTTTGACGTCTATGCTCCGATCGATAATCTTGGCGTGAAAGTCTCCTCCGCCCCATTCTTTCAGGTAAGTGAGCTCCGACCGAGGCAGTTTCCTTGAATACACATGCAGGTGGGTTTGAAAATGTCTGGTCGTTTGAACTAGTTGAAAAAACATCCTGGACGAGTAGGTTGATAAGTAAACCTGGAGCATTTTACATGTCTTTCTATATTTTTACACCGAAGACTTTAGTCAAGGTGTTATGGTATCGTGTAACGGGTTTTTTTTTTAATGTTGTCTGTTGTCAAGTGTCGATAAATAACGTCCACAGTTATCAATTATCATGTGGGCTGGACTATATCGCGCTATGTCACGTGATTGCGTATGTTTGTTTCTTTATTTGTGCATCTTTATTTATTTAATTATCTGTTCTTCTATTTATTTAATTATGTTTAGTTTGCTTATATTTATTTATAATTAATGTATGTACATATTTATTTTTGTTTATTTTTATCACGTGTTTTGTTTTTTTATTTAATTATTCTTTCTTTCATTTAGTTTTGCTTTTATTATTTCTGCGTGTGTATTTATTTAATTTATTTATTTTCATTTATTTATATTATGGATCTGTTTGTTTGGTTATTTGTTCATATATATTTTTTCATGTCTATTTAATTATTTGTAGATTTCACTTTTGCTTTTATTTATTTATTTATTTATTTATTTATGTATTTATGTATTTATTTATTTATTTATGTATTGATTTATTTTTTTATTGCTTATTTATTTATCAGGTGTGTTTTGTTTATTTGTTGATATTTATTTCTATATTTATTTAATTATTCTTTCTTTCATTTAGTTTTGCTTTTATTATTTATGTATGTGTATTTATTTCATTTATTTATTTTCATTTATTCATATTATGGGTCTGTTTGTTTGGGTATTTGTTCATATATATTTTTTCATGTCTATTTAATTATTTGTACATTTCACTTTTGCTTTTATTTATTTATATATTTATTTATTTATGTATTCATTTATGTATTTATTTATTTATTTATGTATTGATTTATTTTTTTATTGCTTATTTATTTATCAGGTGTGTTTTGTTTATTTGTTGATATTTATTTCTATATTTATTTAATTATTCTTTCTTTCATTTAGTTTTGCTTTTATTATTTATGTATGTGTATTTATTTAATTCATTTACTTTCATTTATTTATATTATATGTCTGTTTGTTTGGTTATTTGTTCATGAGATATATATTTTTTCATGTTAATTTAATTATTTGTACATTTCAGTTTTGCGTTTATTTATTTATTTATTTATTTATGTATGTATTTATTTATTTATGTATTGATTTATTTTTTTATTGTTTATTCAGGCTCTTTGTCGATATAGCAAAATATTGGTGTATACATGTGTTAGTACGATTTTAGCTCTAGAATTGTTATTTCAGGCTCTTCGTCAATATAGCAATATTTTAGCGTATACATGTGTTAGTACCATTTTTAGTTCTCGAACTGTTATTTTATGATCTATGTCAATATATCAAAATTTTAGTGTATACATGTGTTATTACGATTTTTAGTTCTCGAACTGTTATTTCATGATCTTTGTCAATATATCAAAATTTTATTGTATACATGTGTTAGTACCATTTTTAGTTCTCGAACTGTTATTCCATGATCTTTGTCAATATAGCAAAATTTTGGTGTATACATGTGTTAGTACGATTTTTAGCTCTAGAACTGTTATTCCATGATCTTTGTCAATATAGCAAAAATTTGACGTATACATGTGTTAGTACGATTTTTAGCTCTCGAACTGTTATTTCATGATCTTTGCCAATATAGCAAAATTTTGGTGTATACATGTGTTCGTACGATTTTTAGCTCACGAACTGTTATTTCAGGCTCTTTGTCAATATAGTAAAATTTTGGTGTATACATGTGTTAGTACGATTTTTAGTTCTAGAAGTGTTATTTTATGATCTTCGTTGATATATCAAAAATTTAACCTATACATGTGTTAGTACGATTTTTAGTTCTAGAACTGTTATTTCAGGCTCTTTCTCGATATAGCAAAATTTTGGTGTATACATGTATTAGTACGATTTTTTGTTCTAGAACTGTTATTCTTCAATTATTAGTTGTTCAAGTTGTTTGGTTTTTGCTTCAGTTTCTATGCCTTCGGTGTATTGCGCGTAGCGCCTATGTTAGATATCTTTCACTACTATTTAGATATCTTTCCTTCAGAAAAGAAATATCACGATATGCATAATTTTGACCATACGTTTTTATTAGAAAAACAGATTGCAAAAAAAACGGGATATTAATGAGAAAAACATTCATCTTCCAGCACTTAAGTTTCTCTGCTTTCTAAATTTTTGGTCACAGAATGGTCAAAACAAATTTCGGATGTATCGCTGATGCTAGCTGCTGATTTGTTCAAACTATCGAAATCATTGGCTGAATTTAACCTTAATTTATACCTGAATTTATCTTAACTCTAAGATTTGAATTTAGATGTCCTTGCTGAAGATTGTTGTTTTGAAGTGAATTGATATTGAATTGACCTGCTTGGATAGTTGGTGTATTTCTTCACGCCAGTAGCTCCAACTCTTTATTCAAAGTTTCAAAAATTTGCCTTTTAACCAAAACGAGGTGTTACATAGTCAACGAAAATAATTATTTCTTTTTCTTTTTACGTCTAGTTGAACCATTAATTGGCAGCCAATTGATTTTCTGCTATTTGATACTGCGGTTTCAAAACTCTTTCATTTAAAATAATGATATGATCTATTTAATTTAGCCAAGTTCTTGTAAAGCAAAAACTACGAATAGGAGACTCCAGATTACTCAGATGTGCTTCTAAGTCCTCGTTGTGTTTTTAAATAGACCAAAGATTGGAAAGAAAATTAACATTAGCATTAACACCGCTGGATTTAGTTATTATAATTCTCTGAAACTCCTTTTTCTTGATAAGCCGAAAAACACCGTTGAAGCAATTCAGTACAATCTCAGTAGTGCAGTTTAGTAAACTCTCAACTTCAGAAAGCGCACTAGTCTTATAAGTTTTTTTTATTGTACTTCCAGATGAAAAGTAAAATGCCATCTCTCGTTCATTTCGACCCAATTCTTTCTCTTCATTTTTACGAATTTTACCCAAGCTGAGCGTAAGTGTTAAAAAAAATGTCATCTGTAAGACCGTCAATCGGACAGGTTGCTTGTTTTTCCGCTGCAGATCCACCTTTTTAATTCGCCTCAATAGAATTAACAACCACAGTTTTGTCACTGGCCGATCTTGATGGGAGCACAATTGAGATATCGTAATGAGCCAATTTTGCATCAGTCTAACCGCATTCTCTATACTTATCACTCATTTGATCGTTGTTTCCATTGATTCAATTCTTCCATCTTAGCAACAATTTTCCGAGAGGCCTATGATCGTGATGATTGTAGGTGTCTAATAGCTCCCCTTCTGACCAGGTGCTCAAAGTTTGTCTTTTCCCCTGCTTTGAAGTCTCTTCTTTGGCCATCCCATCACTTCATCTTTCATGCTTGATATTGCGCTTCCAATTGCCGCCTCAATTACGACTTTTTTTTCTTTGATATGTTCTAGTTATTTTGGCATCACCAGATTTACGGACATTGAAATAGCATGTTCCATTTTCTTGGATATTTCAAAATTGTCGAAGTCAGTCAGTCAGCTCTGCGCACGCACCAAGCTCAATACATGGTGTCCTCTTCGATGAGTTTTAAATTGGGGTTTGGTCTTCAAATTTTAGTGCTGGTAAATCGGCTTGAGTACAGTCAGCATCAACAGCGTTCATCTCCATCTCAGAAACTATTTCATAAGTTTATCACAACAATTAGGATGCCAAAATCACGAGAAATAATTCAAGTTTAAGCCTTAATATCGACCAAAGTATAGGATGCTAATTCATGTCTGCTTTGAGATGGGAAATAGTTGAAATCTTTCCTGAAAAACATTGAGGATGCCACTTTTTGTTGTTTAACATAGATAGATATAGGTTACTTTTTTGGTTTCTTTCATCTAAACCGAACTTGAAATCGAGATCCATTGCTGAGTCAATTTTGTGTAAAGCTCACTCTAATTCTAACGATAGATTGGACTTAGAAATTTTATTAATACTCTACAAGTGTTACGAATGGAATAAGTGTTTTGCAACCACGTGCTTGACCTTTTCCCCCCTAAATAATTGTGCTCATTGATTTCAAAACGTGATGTAAATTGCATGTATTATACACGCGGCATATGATTTTCGTTCAAATGTCCATTAAAACTACTGTGGCTCCTTTATATTGTTTTTCGACCTCAAACTGGTTTAATTACATACTTACCAATTACATAACTTTCTCCAGTGCTAGTTGCAGAGGGCTAAACACCACAGTTTTTGAATGTGAAAAAAAAACAATTGGCTGCGTATAGTTTACACAATCGAAATTCAAAATTGAAAAATGCATTTTTTGGTTCCTGTCTTCTGTTGGCTTGCTACAAACTTTTCTTCTAATTATTTAATTTTGATGGGAACGATAGTGCTTCAAGTTCGTCTCAGCGAAAAATTTGTTTTTGGGATTGTTAATCAAAAGGAAGTAGGATATTTTTTGGAAGGAAGCTTTTATATCACAAATTTTAAACGGCATTTGAACTCGATGCTTACGATTTATTTAAACTTGCAAACTTTATTGAGGTAGTTTTTTAGTACTATTCTTTGTTTTCTAACCTAAGTAGCAAATATTTTTGCCACTTTTGGGGCACCTTCACAATTTTTTGATAGCATGTGAACTGACATTCGATTACTTATAAGTTAACTCATTTAAACTCATTTGATGCAGTTCTCATTATTCAAATGAACCAAAAACAGCTATTTGCTTCAAATATCAGTACAATAATAAAAACTCGATTTCAGAAATTTTTTAACTCAATACATCTCGCAATATTTTTTAAGTTCTTATTTTGAGCGTAATTTGGTTTTCGAGTATTGTTGTATTCCAAATTTTTACATGCCTAATTGTGTCTATTTGTATATGTTGCCACTTTTGCTGCATAGCATCGGCA